GTGATGTAAAACAACCATGTCTTAGGTTCACTAGGAAAAACAGTTGGGCTCTTGAACTGTCATATCCACAGGAGATTCCCTTTCCAATATCCAAAAGTTGAGAGGACTTCATGGGAATGTGCTGATGGGCTAAAGAGGGGCCCAGTGATCAAACTGCTTGTGATGATTCTCAGAGCACCCCTCAAAACTCGAGGTATTGAACTTGTACTGACTAAATGAGTAACACAAAGCACTTTTGGTGGGGAACAGAAATCCCAGGATTACATTACAAACCCAGGGAAGTAAAAGAACAAGCTGCTTTTCTGTGCAGAAGCTTTTGAAATTAAACATGTGCATTTTGAGAGCATGTACATAGCACGTGGGCTGCTATCTACCTGGCAGTTCCATGAATCAATCAGAGTCAGCCCAAATTCAGGATTTAGCAGTTCAAAGTTATCCTAATTCTCTGTCTCCTATATAACCTAATATGCAGTTACAGCAGAGAACCTTGTATTATCAAATCTGCCTTTGCCATCTCATGGGCAGAGCTGTGCAACTGCCAGGGAAAGGTTAATCCCAGCACTATTAACTCCAGCCTGGAAACCCTCCGGAGGTTAATGAAGCCCAAATTCTGTCTGTCATCCCTTCAGTGGAATGATATCAACTGCCAGAAATGGGAAAGAGTCCCAAAAAAGCAGCAGCATAGAAAACTGCCAGTCAATTTAAAAGCCTGAACCAGGACACTGAATTTTCTTTAATTAAGGAGAATTTGCTTTGAATTATTCCAAGTACAAGGGATTCAGCCCTTCTTTTTCCAGCTGTGGTAGGTGGATTCTTTGGACACTCTTTGTGTGCACAGGAGGATTTTCCAAGCTCATTTCAGCTGATCCCAGAATCATGGCAAGGTTAAAACTCATCTCATTCCAGTCCCTTTCCATGAGCAGAGACACCTTCCACTAGACCAGGCTGCACCAACCTGGCCTGGAACACTTCCAGAGATGGGACAGCCACAGCCTCTGTCACAGACAGACACACACCAAGGTCTATTTGAACCAAAGGATCAAATCAAAGGATCCCAGCAGCCTCCCAAGAAAATTTCTCAAATTAGCAGTTTAAAAAGGCCATGAAACCGTGGCATTAACTGCAATGATTTGCTGCCTGCTGTGCCCAGGAACACGTCACACCATCAGATTCTGTTCAGCACAATGTATTATATTTATAAACACACACCTGATGCCTGCACACCTTGATTATTCCTATACTAACATCCAAGATCCCAGGAATTTGATCAAACAAGAAACTGCTTTGCTTTTAACAAAACTAGAGTGTTTCACAAGCAATCCAGACCTTCAGCAATGCCTGCTGGTGTCCCACACCCTCATCCCACACCTTTTATCCAGCCCCCACAAAGCCAGATCCAACAGTCATTCCCACCTGCCTTCCAACCGGTTTTTATCAATGCCCATAAATCCAGGGAGATGTTTTAATGGATAGAAGGAGATATTCTACAGGAATGTGGGCTTTAAAAGACCTTCTGGGGACAATAAATCACTCCAGTGCAGTGATGCAAAAGTATCTGTCAGTGACAATGGTCTTGTGTTTCTTAAAAATCATGGATTTGCCTGTGTCCAACAGGAATCCTTCAGAATCAGGGGGTTGTTTTTAAGAACTAAAGAGTACTGACATGTGTAACTAGTACTACAAATCCTATCCCAAAACTCAGCTTTCCTTATGGATCTGAAGACAACCAGAGAACAGAAACCAAAAAGACCAACGGGGACAAACTGGAGAGACAACAAGAATTAGAGGGAAAAGAAACATGAGCCAAAAAAAACCCTCCATAGCCTTGGTGAGAACTGAAGAAACATCAGCCCTGGAGTGATGTCCTGCTACTACTTGGTTACTGTTCCTTTGAAGATCCCCATGAGTAGTGTTGGTATCCAAATGTGGGCAGAGCAAAGAAAGGATTGACCTTCCAGCCTCCTGCCCTCCTATTCCTCTTCTTCTCAGTTCAAACTACGACTTCCTCCCGCTCTGAGCCCCCTCTCCCATTTTTCCACACTGTGGGAAAGGCTCATCCCTCTCTCCCATTTGCCCACACTGTGGGAAAGGCCCATCCCTTTCCCAAAAACCTCTTCATGCTGAGGATTCATCACCTTGAACAGAACACAAAGTCACGGAGAGCTGAGTAAAACACAGAGTAGTTTTCCAGCTCAGATGCACTTTCAAATCACTTCTCAAATTTGAACTCAGAACGAAAACAGAAAGGAAGCTAAGATATAAAAAAAAGTGATAGTGAGTTTTGTTGTTTTTTTTTTTAATTTATTGATCAAACCTCCTTTGTCTCAATTTAAAAAAAAATTTTAGAAAGAAAGAGCCCTGAATGCAATAAAAATTCAACCACAAGAAGGACACTGTAAGGGACCAACACATACCTCCTCCACGTCGTTGTCCAGCACCACGACCTGCAGTGGAGAAGTGAGGTTCTGGTTATCTGAGATGGTGGTTCCCACCGGGGAGGATTCCAGGATGAAGCCCTCATAGGTGGATCTGGTGAAATAAGGCTTCTGGTTGTTCTCATCGAGGACCTCGATGTGCAGGTTGGCAAAGGCAGGAAGGGGGTGGCCATTGTCTTGTTCAGCCTAAAAAACACCTCATTTGTCAAAGGCTCTCTCAGCCAAGTTCAGCTACAAACAGAGACTGACTGGGGATGGTTTGGAGTTATCAATCAAAACCCAGTTAAAGAAATGGATACCATTGTACAGATCCCCCTTTTGTGAAACTGGGCATCATGAAAAAAAACCCAAACAAACAACTAAAAATTAGTAGGAGAGAAGAACAGAAAGACTTCCCATCACAACAAACTTTTACATAGCCCCAAGAAACCCAAAGCTCTACAGCACATGAGCAAACATAGTTCCTTAAACTCGCAGGACTGAGAGTTTTGGAAAAATCTTCGAAGGACAAAAGAAAACTGGAGACTGCTGATTGTACAACAGAACCCAAGGCACCAGCAAGAGAGTTAAACCCCAAAGGTGCTGCCAGCACACATGGATGCACAGTGCTTCCTACAGATTACTGGACACAACTCCCTCCCTCTCCCCCAGAATCCACCTCCCCAGTGTTGCAGGAGTGGGATTTTAAATTGGGGTTTGCCTGGTTTTGCATCCTAGAACAGTTAGGGCTGGAAGGGACCTCAAAGCCCATCCAGTCCCACCCCTACCATGGGCAGGGACACCTTCCACTAGCCCAGGTTGCTCCAAACCCCATCCAACCTGGCCTTGGACACTTCCAGGGATCCAGGGACAGCCACAGCTTCTCTGGGCAACCTACTCCCAGAGAAGTTGTGGATGTGAGTGTCAAGCAAAATATTCTTTATTTCAATGAATAACCCCCAGTTTTCACCCGATTTATTTTTATTTTCAAACTTCCTAAACATAAAAGCACTAACTGCCCATTCCAGTGGGCTCATCCAACATAAACCCATGATCTTCCTTTCTTGTCTTTTAACTTTACAGCCAACCACTAATTAAGGCAAATAAACAAGGGAAGTAGAAGACAACAAGTAATTTGTTCTCTAATTTATGAAGAGCAAACCAGTTTTAATTATAGTCCTGCACATGTCCCTGTAGCAAGACAATAGTAGGGCATTGAAAGACAGTCTCCTACGGCCAAAATGTGTATTCCCAGGGCCAAAACCTGGGAATACCACACCAGTGGAGCCCTAGTGTCTGTCTGCAGACATGAGAACATTTGCCCATCCCCTGCTACTTGTACAGCACTGACATTGTTCAGGAGGGATGAGATTTCTGTAAGGTGAGGAAGAAAATGAACTCTGGAATTTTGGGTAGAATACCATTAAATATCTCCCTTGAAGACCATTATACAGCAGACTGACTTCTAAAGGCTTGCATTTAATTTAACCTGCTGGCTGAAGAGATGTCTATGTTTAAATTGTTATGTGAGGAAATAGAGACACTCTCCCGGGAGCAGGCTGGGATCTCATCTTTGCTGATTTAAGGATTTCCTAAGGATCATTCCTTCCTTGGTGTTAAACTCAAGCTTTAAGTGAGAAGTGATTGAGAGCAGCCCAGGCAGAAGGCCCTGGGGGTGCTGGTGGGGCAGAGGCTGGACCTGCCCCGGCCCAGAAACCCCCCGTGCCCTGGGCTGATCCCCCAGCGTGGGCAGCAGGGCAGGGGGGGATTCTGCCCCTCTG